TTTAACTCCAATTTGACGAGTGTTAGAAGTATAGGCTATTAGTATGCTATGCACCCATCTATCCATTTTACTTATCCAAGAAGAAAGGAGAGGACTCAGGGTAAAGGAAAGGATCAAATGGGTTAACTTCTGTTGGTGGCCACTGACAAGGGTATTAGAGGAATTTCAATAAGAAGAGTTTGTTAGTGGGGAAGTGAATATATTATAAATAGAAGAAAGAAAAGGGGGGGGGGGGGGAACATGCTGAAAATTACCTAGTGATTTTTATGGAGAGACTAGCCTCTCAAAATTCAATCTAATCAACCTTTCAGCCATCCTGTTATCTTCTATCAAATTTTGTTCATTGCTCATTTTGGGATTAGTTTTGTAACTTGGTAATAATATTTAACAATTTTGGGGTTTCTATATGGATTTGTTGGCCTGCTATGTATTTTTCCATTACTAATGAATTCTTATGGTTCCTATTACTTTCCTGCTTTCCCTTTGTTATGGACTCTTGTAAGAACCTAACTCCATTTAGCATGCCATTATTCAGTTTTTTGGGTTGTTGATATGCTAAGTTTTTCATGGTATAAGTTGAGTATTATAAAATATGGTTCTCTAAAAGGATGAATCATCAATCAAAGCATGAATACATCTAGCCCAAAGTGGGCCAACGGGCTGAAGGAGCAGAACCCTGCTAAAATTCTAGAGGTGATACGTAACCAGTATTATATATATATATATATATATATATATATAGCTCCTGCTCAAGTAGAGTATGCACGTGCACATTCCTAACCAAGCACACGCAGGATCAATCAATGTTTTCAGAAAGGGGATTTCGTCAAAAGATTAGCTACCTGGTTCTTCTGAACACGTAGACACGCAAGCTACATGGGAGGTTTTTGATTACTAACTGCCTTCTCATGAAAAAAGTGATAATCCACTTCATGATAATGGGAATGCACATCAAATATACGATTCATCTACATGTTCATTTGTGCTTCGTCCAGCTGTAGTATCTCCTGACTTGTACTAAATGATGCATCCATGTTAGCTCACATATTGGCAGTTGGCACTATAAAAACAAGTGCCTCAATACTTGCTTTTCAAGGGAACTAGATTACCGCCGGTGGCAAGTAGAATCCTATTGTTCACCTCCTGGTGCATGGAAATTGACAAGTCTCGCATGAGAATATCATATAGCTCAACTGTGCCTTGATCAATATATAAAAGACCTTGATGCGGAGCATCATTTAGAGACCTCAATATCTAGGATACTCGATCCCCATAATTAGTATGTGGGAAAGACATAAGCTAATTCACCACACTCACAAAAAGAAGCAATACCAAGCTCTAGTATCCTTGAGATTGCCCTTTCCATTCCCAAGTTGTGTAATGCTTTGATCATTCTCAGGATACCACCACCTGCACTCTCTCCCATAGCAGCTGATCAAGAAGCTGTGTTGAGTAAATTTAAATATGGAGATCATTGAAGAGTTTGCACACGATGTAGATGTAGACTTATTCTTGTCTGCATGATCCAAGAGGATAGCTGAACATAAGAAACATGAACTATATAGCATGCAAGTCTCTTGATATGCTTACCAATGCAGCTAGCTATGTTATGCAACAAGGTATATAGGGTGTATTGGTACTTTGGTAGTAGTCTAAAAAGAGGATCAATAAGAGGGGAAAAGTGGAAAACCTTGATTGGATTGTCTGAAGGTGGACCAAGGGTCTCACTGGGTGATTCTAATAAGTGTCTCTTCTCTTATAACATACATGAATGGAGTAGTAGGTGTAGTCACATAATTGTTGGGAACCAAAGGAGCTTCAAAAGATATCTGGACTTGGAGATTCAACTTATTTGTTCCAAAAGGAAAGAAGCAGCCTAGCTCTGGAAAAGTGGCATGGTAGAAACTTCTTATTTGTTACAAGGACAGTAATACATGTACCCCTTCAAGGATCAGTTTGCTTAACTTTAAGTTTTCTCACCAAAGACTTTAGGCTCGAAGTTAAAAAAGTTGTGGAAATAAGATGTACATAGTCTAACAAGTGTATACATTCATAGAACTATTTTATTAAGAGACTTATGCACATGATGTTTGATGTAATATAACTATCATAGTAATGAACCTAGTAAAGTCCTGAGAAAGTTGCTCGTTCGCCATTACAAGGGTTTAACAAGTACCAAATTGATTATTAACCGAAGAATAAAAGTATCAAAGGAAAAAGAATGCTAGTATGGGATTTTAATAACGAAATCAATGTGAAAGTTATGTAAAACAATGCCAATGTTCATAGTAAAAGTATAGAGGCTGGTCAGATTGTCAATAGTGGTAATAGAAAATGAGAAGAAATTTATGGCAACTATGAACTATTAATGGTGACATCAACCCCACACTTTTTCTTTCTCCTTGAGTGAGAATGTAATTACTAGGAGAGAAAACGTGCATTAACATACATGTTTGTTCTTTAGAAGTTTGTGATGATATTATTTTGAAGTTACCATAGATTTGCATAACAAATGAAGGTCAAGCAATTACACCACTTAATGGAGCATCAACCGATCAATGAAACACTATCTACAGAGTTGTGTTATCACTTCCATAATCACTGTAAAGCAGGTAATGTTAGCTTAACCTAGGAAGTCTCTGCCAAGTTGCGATGCACGTAGGAATTGACAACAACTCCCGTCTATAATTGAGATGATTGCGTTGACATCCAAAGGAGAATCTTGATGACATTATAGATCAAAATCCTTGTCGATGCCACATGGGCAGGCATGATACATCTACATGAAGATTGCGGAGATGGCAACCTTAGGGGCTGTAATGCAACCCCAGACAAGGAAATACCAAGGGAAGTTAGGCAGTAGAGATGCTGAAAATGCGAGGGTACTCTCACATTCCAGTATAGCCTCTCAGATGGGATGCCATCTTTACCAGTGTTTTTGGCAGTAAGCGTAACTTGTTTGAGGATGGGCACTTCTTATCATTCATAAACTGACATAGAAATAGAGATTATGAACAGTTCTTTAGAAGGCTTTTTGTGATGTTTTGGTCACGAATAACCTACGCAATGAAGCACTTCTGTTCCTTGGGCCGGATATTCCTTCAGTACCAGCTTCCAGACTTCAGCAGGACTACTTGGTTTAACATCGTCTATGGGCATGATGCCATGACCCACTGGTTCCTCATCTATTTCATTCTAGGAGACTCTCATATAAGAACTAGCGTTTAGCTGATCACTCATGATGAAGGATGAAACTTTTTAAGAAAATCTTTTTAAAAGCTCGGTCTCAAATAAAGAAACAAGTTCATTCCGAGAGACAGGAGCTTAGTTTTGAAGTTGGAAATTCTTTTTTTTTTTTTTTTCAACCTTACCAACATTGCCTCCCCTTAAGGAGGCACCAAAAATTATCAGCTTGTTTATTTTGTCTCTACATGGTACTTTGTTAAGTTGGACAAGTGGTTTATGAACTAGAGCTACCTGAATCCTTCAAAGTTCATCCAATTTTATACGCTTCATTGCTCCAACTAGCTTTGGGCAAAGCTCTTCCTTCTTAGTTCTCCCCCAACACCTGTGTCCTTGTCTGCAGGATGGGAGTTCATGCCCACACCTCCCAGAAAGGAAACTTTCACGTCCTATTTTGAAAGAGTGGGGGGGGGGGGTGAGATCCTATCCCAATTTTTATAATTTCATTGCAAAGGCAGGCTAATGATGGCAGTGTTCTTACTTTCGAGCTCTTGGTTGCATGGGATGGGGTGTCCTCTAGAAGAACCAGTTGGGGATATTATGATCTTGCTTTACAAATTCCTTCTTTTCCTCTTGAGGACAAGACTTCTTTCAGGGAATTGATCGTTACAAGTCCATCACTAAAGACTTGATCAACAATAAAAGTGAGGCCAAGTGGCGAAAATAAGGCTATTTATCAAGTCCAACTTGTTCAGCTATTGCATCTGCAGATGCAAGTTGTCCAGGAATTAATCTAGTTCGACTGAACCCCCCCCCCCCCCCCCCCCAAGAAAAAACAAAAACAGTTTGATGGTGGAAGCCGTTGAGGAACTAATCTAGCTTGGATAGCTTCCTCCACCCATTTTGATGCAATGCTCGTCTAATATTGCCTTTTCTTTAGTATTTCTTTTGGATTGTTAGCAGATAATACTCCTTGGATATCCATTATTAATATCCATGGGAATAGTTGTTTGAGGAATCAGTTTTGTATTCATTTGATTTGGAGCTTTGTCATCTCCATGCAGACAGCTTATTGGCTGCTACAAGATTCTTGCATAATTGTTGTCAATAACAAGCATTTTTTTTTTTCCATCATTTCCTTCCTCTGCCAACTATTTTTCCAGCTCTAAGAAACTTGCAATACCTGTCGCAAATAAATGTTCATGTATGAACACTCAATATAGGATACTTTTATTTAGGGTCTTCATTTTTTTGGAGCATGTTTACTTTATATATCTAGGCAAGAGCTAATATCTAGCCTGTTTGAGTACAGAATATGGTGACTTCATGGTAGAGCTTTTCATATGTTCACTATTAGTACTTTGGCACATACTGCTGTTTCTCAGCTTTTACCATGATGTTCTTTACGTGAGGTGAGGAGATGCAGGATCATAAATGGAACTGTGTTTTTGTATTTGAACTTATTGGCCATACTAGCTCCTCTTAGCTCCCCTTTGTTACATTATTTAATTCTTCATCTATAATTCCTTTGCCTTCAATTTTTTGTGTGTGCATGTGCATGTTTGAATGCACACATATGTGTCTAATAAATGCTTATTGCAGACTTGCAATATTTACCTACTATGCCTTATGTTGGACTTGTGGGTGTGCATGATGCATATTAATTGTGGAATGCAGTATATTACTAAATTCCAGTTTCTCATGTCTTACTAAGAAAAAAAAATGTAACTCTTGTCTTTCAAGTCATAGTCAAATTGGCAAATGGTATTCTACTGGCAAAAATAAACATCTTTCTTGTATATGTCTCACTTATGCAGGTGGGTCACCGGACCAGGAATCAGTAGTGTCAGGGACCAAAAAGTCAAGTATTTCTTCCGGTGGTAGGGTTCGGGAGGAGTTCCTTCATAGATTTTGCGACAGTCAAATCTTGACTGCAAATCTTGAAGACTGGTTTCAAAGTTTAGCAGAAAATTCATATGACTTTGATGTTCCTTTTGAGTTGATAGATCTTCAAAAGTTTGATTATGCATTGGAAGGGGTTTCTTTTCAGCAGCTGATTCGGATGCCCAGTGCTGGTTATGCATCACCATCAGGCACGATGGAAGCTACTGCTTTTCTTGCTATAGAAGATTTTCTACATGCAAGTGTAAAGGGGTTATGGGAGGCATTTTGGAACCAAGATGAGCCCATGCCTTTATCTGTTGCCTGTCTTTATGACGCAAATTTAAAATTCTATCAGGCTGAGAAAGCCATTGCTAATGGAAAACTTGGAGGTCTGTGTGCCACAGCCGTAATGCTCAATAACCCTAGACACCCACATGGTAAATGGCATGATATTCTCGAGTTGGCCCTTTTAAGGCCCGGTATCGAAAGCCTCGCAAGGGAAAACGATGTCACGTTTCCTTCGTTATCTGTTTTGGGCGAAGCCCTGTTCTATGCTGTACGTATTTTATTGTCAAGAAGTCTCCGGAGATCGAAAAATCCGTCAAGTTTAAGTTCTGTATTCGTTATTCTGGCCGATTGTCAATATGGCGGTGTTGTAAAAGTTGAAGGAGATTTGACCAAAATGGAGTTTGACGTTAATAATGTGTATCAATGTGCTGCTGAATGGATCGAGAATCATTCGCGAGTTTCAGTCACTCCTTTCGATAGGATCTGGAACAAGCTTGGAAATGCCAATTGGGGGGATATCGGTGCTTTACAGGTACTTTTTGCTACTTTCCATTCAATGGTTCAGTATGCTGGAATGCCCAACAACTCGATTGAAGATTTAGCTGCTGATCACAGTTCTCGTCTTCAATCAAGAAGAAACGAGAGGCGGTTAGGGGAAATCGGAATAAATGGAAACGGTCTATTCAAACTCCAGCAACGTAGCATTTCCCCAGAAATTGTTGAAATCCAGGAAGAGCCTGTTATTATTGAGCCCCGAAGATCAATTAAACTCGAAGTAGGATCTATTTTGCTGGTGGAGGATTCAAATTGGCAAAAAAGTTATCAGATCAACCAAGTTCTAAGTGACGGTGAAATGCCGTATTACGTTGCTTCTTCAGTTGACGACCCAGGAAAGGCCCTGTTTCTATATGTAGGTTCACATCCATCTCAACTCGAACCAGCATGGGAAGATATGAAGTTATGGTATCAGGTCCAGCGACAAACTAAAGTATTTTCCGTTATGAAACATAATGGTTTATCCAGCAAGTATTTGCCGGAATTAGTCATCTCCGGCAGGATAGTTCATCCTGGCCAATGCCGGAAACCAAACTCTGGTGGAAACTGTGACAATCCATGGTGTGGGACCCCGATTCTCGTGACAACTCCAGTTGGCAAAACAGTAGCCGAAATGGTCAATTTGGGTCAATTTGGACCCGATGAAGCCATTAGATGTTGCCAAGATTGCTTATCTGCTCTCTCGACCGCCGCCTCTGCTGGCATTCGGCATGGTGACATTAGACCTGAAAACATCATCTGTGTGACATCTGGCGTGATCCCGCAACCTTACTTTGTTCTAGTTGGGTGGGGCCACGCAATTTTGGAGGAACGAGATCGGCCCGCTATGAATCTCCATTTCTCATCCACATACGCCCTTCAAGAAGGCAAACTATGTTCGGCTTCCGATGCAGAAAGTCTCGTTTATTTGCTTTATTTTTCCTCTGGGGGTGATTTACCCGATTTGGATTCTGTTGAAGGAGCATTGGAATGGAGAGACACCTTCTGGTCAAAAAGATTGATTCAGCAAAAACTTGGAGAAATATCTGCAGTTCTGAAAGCATTTGCTGATTATGTGGATAGTCTGTGTGGGACCCCGTATCCGATGAATTACGAAATTTGGCTCAGAAGATTGAAGAGACATCTCCACGAAAACGGAAAGGAGATCAACCCATCGAGTTAAAAAATAAGGGAAAAGTAAGAACCGAACTTCCAGATTTGAACGAGATCGAGAACGGAAACGGGAAATCGAGGGGTATTTTTAATGTAAGTTTGGTTCTTGATGTTGCATGATTTGTTGAGAAGATAGAGGTATATATATGGTAAAGTTGACCTCAAATTTACCTTTTGTTGCAAGTTTATTAGTTGGTTGATTTTTGCTTTTGTGATTGTATAGGCCGTCATTAAATTAAGGTCAAACCATTGACCACAGCAGATAAGAGATGGTCAAACATGCTGTAGTGACTTGTACCTTACTTAGAGTTTGGTTTGAGATATATAAATGGTCAAACAGATAAGAGATGGTCAAATATATATATATATATATATATATTATATATATATATATATATAGGGGTAAGATCAAATGTTAACCAAAGTTTTTGTGTTGGACTTTTCAAAATTTGTTATATACATTCTTATAACCTATAAAACTAATTAACATAGTAAAATAACGGGAAAAGAATGAAAAAGAGCCAATGGACATTCATATTTTGAGCGATAAAATCCCTAAACATTTTTAACCAAAAAAGTACTTACATTATATAAATAAAACAAATATACCAAAAATACTTACATTTAAAAAAGATTATTGATAAAATTTATTTTAATTAAAAACAAAAAATATTATGTCAGTGATTTTTCAAATTAAAAAAATAAAAAAAGATTTATGGTTATATTTATTTTTAATCA